GCCCTTGTTGCCCAAGGGAACTAGGGGGCAATAATTAATTACAATAGGGGTATTAACGGGTAAAAAATTAAAGTGTACTCCTATTCAGGGAATATTATGAATTAACTCCTATTTAGGGAAATGTGTTATGTTTTACTCCTATTGGGAGCAAGTACTTATTAGAATATGTATTGTCGGACCCAACACCCAAAACCTATTTCATAAAAGTATAAGAAACATAACAATCAAAAGTCAAAACATTACAATCTAGCATTGAAAGCTACACCGTACTAGGGTGAAACAAAGAACAAACAAGACCTATAGATTGAAAAGGCGCTCCGGTTCGCTAACCCTGCAACGATGTACACTAGTATCTCTGTGTGACTGCTCATGCTACTCAAAATGAAATCGGTTTGATAGTGGCATTTGATCTCTTAACTTCTTGATGAAATCAATTGAGATTGATAACCTCAACACAACAGTTTCGGTTTAACCAACAAAATTAATCCCTCTTAAGTTTATTAACCACGACCGTGCATTAATAAACCGAAGTTACTTACTTGTGAAACCATCAACGATTAACAATCGGTTTGTTGATCGTTTCTAGTAATAATTAATGTTGGAACGTTAACCAATCGTCACTTAGCAACCCTCCAACATTAATATAGAATGAGATTAATGGAAGAATTAATAATCAAGAGAAGAAGTTAAAAAAATAACTCACAACTTTAATATTCAACAAGCTTCAAGAGCAAAACCAAGAAATGGAAGTTTAGCTCCTCATTTGGAGACTAAACATACTAGAAAAATATAAAGAAAGACTATTCTAAACTGAGCCTAGAAGTGTATAGGAATTGGTGATCAAAATAGGAAGGAAAAAGGGGTGTATTTATAGGTATTTGGAGGTGACTGGGTCTGATACCCGACCGGGTATGTAGAATACCCGATCGGGTATCCTTAATTGCTCGGAAGGTGCCGCAATCACATTCAACACGTTCTTTTGTTCTTGTCAACTCAACCCGACTGGATTTTATACCAACCCGACCGGGTTTTAATTTGGTGCGTAGCTTCCCTTTGGCTTCATATGTCACTTCCAACCCGACCGGGTTATATTTCAACCCGACCGGGTTTGCTACCAGAATTTATTTCCACCATTCATCTTGCCTTCCTTTGGTGCCTATAATACTTCCTTGCATCCCTTATGGTACTTACAACAAAATACACACTAAAAATACAAATTAAAACCTACAAAATAAATCTATAGAGTACATCACAAACTAAACTAAACAATTAAAAACAATAATCAAACAATACTAAAATAACAAACTTATGCACTAGGAAATAGTGCATATCACCTGTGCACTTCTATTGATGTTTGTAACCAAGTCCTCCCACACATCATCCCCCCAAGGATATACGTTGAAGGCTTCAATATCATGGACCAACTTTATGTACTTTACTGGTAATGGTCTAGACATTTGGTGTCCCAATATATCATGTGCTAGCACATAAAACAGTGCTAACTTCAAACCATTTTCCTTTTCTATGTGTGGATCACCATGGTTATAAGCCTCCAGAGCACTTATCACATCTTGTCTTGTAATTACTTACTTATTGTCAAAATGCCTTCTACAGAAATTTCCTTGTAACTGAACATCGCCTTGTAACTGAACATCGCCTATTGTTCTGTCACCACCAACCTTCAGCCCTAGCAACAAGGCCATATCTGATTTGGTAAAACTTATTACACTGTTTCCTATGTGAAACCTTATCACACAAGTTTCAACAATGTTGTTAAATTCCTCAATATAGCTCCCTGCAAGTGCTATGCACAACTGCCCACTCAACCTTGGCATCTGTTCAATGTCAAGCATCCATCCAAAAACTGTGTTTTTGAATGCTATTAATTCCTCCTCACTCAGTTGCCCTTTTATTTTATTTTTTTGCTACTTCATTTAGATTGCTATTGGCATTTAGCCTGAATTTGTCCAAACTTCTAAGCAGTCCAGTTTCACAAGTGCGACTGATAGTCTGTATTTAAACAAATTTCATTACTATTAAATATTTCCATTCATTCAAAACAAAATCACAATTTGAACATTTGGCACTCTTACACATGGTTATTATAAAACTTTCCCTAATTACACATTTGAAACACTAATATTTGGAACTTTTCCATGATTCAGATAGTCTAAAACATAGCAATATTAGAAATCATTGAGGTACTCAATAACTTTTAGTTTTCAGTAAACATTTTATAACAGTTACTTTTACTTTTGGTCTAAAACAGTTACTTTTGGCACTTTTAGTTTTCAGTAAACTGCCGCTGCCGAGAATTGAAACCGAGACCTCAATAATCTAACAATCTCATTCAACCACCCTTGAGCTACCCGTGCGGGTCTGACTATTGTTTTCTTGACCACTTTCGAATTTCAATGCATCTTCAATGATTATAACCACAGGAAGAGGAATATATATATGCGAGAAACAATAGTTATGTATAAAAAATGGTTAAAATCAAAGAAGTGAGCCAATTGAAATTGGTGCGATACTCATAATACAAAAATGGAATTTATTCTTACGAAAACTATGGAAAAGCAGTACATTTTCATTTCTAAAAGTCTAAGTAATTTATGTTCTATTGGAATAGTATGTTTCGTATTTTACATTTCTTTCACGATTCTCACATTTTCCCACGTTACATGAGTCCTAAACCATAATATAATACGCAGTAATAAATAAAACTAACAACTATACTCTTATCATATCATTCTAAGAAAATCTACAATTTATCTGAGTAATAAATAAAACTAACTAACTATGCGTACACGTACATACGGGTTTGATTGGTTAAGAGAGAATGTATTTTCCAAAGTAAGAAAAACTAAAATCGGTTTACAAAAGCAAAGTCAAATGATTAGAAAAGGGAAAAAGTAGGAAAAAAGAAGGGTAGTAGATTCAATTTAGGGAAGTGTTCTTATATTTGATATAAAAGAAAAAGAAAAAATTATTTTATAAAAGAGTAGCATACATATATGTTTATATGTATGTTAGTATGTGACTAGCATTATTTTTCTCTTCTACACAATTTTAATCACACAGTTTTTATTTTAAGTGTAAGTCGACTTTTATCATTATCCAAAAGTTGAATTCTCAACACAAGGACCCCCACACCCCGACTCGACAAAGCATTTGGAAGGATGTAAATCACGATTGCCTAACTTATCATAACGATGATAGACATTATACCTGTGCGCACCAGAAGCACAATTCAGCACACAAGAGTTGCGACCTTCACACGATCGATGTAAGTTTCAATCCTTAGTCATTGTCCAACTTCTCTACTGTTTTATCATTTGAGCTATCCGTACGGGTAAAATACTATGATTACCCAAGTCAAATTTTATCATTAAAATGAAAAAAATATTACCCGTACATTTTAAACACATATCTGGAATAAGATATTAGTCCACTTAGATGCCGTTAAAGCAAACTTTTGTCATGCCGATTTAGATCTAGGTACAAATATAATTTTAACAGTAGTGGATTCTTAGCAAAAAAATCTACTCGTCAAAACAATTGTGGGGTTTTAACAAATTAATCGATAACTTTATCCACACAAAAAAAATCCATAACTAGGCAAACTATATACTCCGCGGTTTTTATACGTGTAGTAAAATACGGAGTATTCAAAATATAATTGACATTAAGTGGATTTTTAACAAAAAAAATCATTTAAAAAAATTTGCATCGGGGTCATGCATATGTTCGACTTTGGCTGTCTTTCTTTAATTTGCACATATAGTTTGACATGGCGGACTATCCCCAAATTTTTGCATCAACAAACTCAAACATATACACCCTCAATTCGTTATAACTTGCATTGAACAAATTTGTACAATGAGAAAGAATTAACAACAATCACCATCTTTTTATTTAAATGAGAAAGTGACATGTTAGTGAAATCTTAAGAAAAGAAAAAGTTAATTAAATTATAAGAGATGAAGAGAGTAATAATATGTTATTAGAAAAAGGGTGCACTTACTCGATCTTTTTAAATTCTATAGTTCTCTATAACTTAGCAACCATTAACATATTCACCATACCATGCATGTTTTTTACACACAATAAATGGTATAGTCATTATAAATTCGATAATAGTGTGAATCTAAATCATTTTTAACAATTAAATATCAACCACATAGTTTTCTTTTTTAAATAATAGTAGCATCTCTCTCGCATCAAATATGGAAGTATACGATTTGACAGGTTTTGCCTTAGACCTGCTTTTACCTTCTACTTTGTAGCCCCATGAACATGAAATGAGTTTCTCTATCCTTGAGCCCTTGAGGCGTTGAGGTGCTTTGCAAAACATTTTAGCCCCTCCCAATAAACGTTGTGTATTAAATGAGAGGTAAATAATTCAATATAATTTTTTGAGTTATTCGGCGCAAATAACCGTAATCCTCAGTTATCAAGTTGACCGTGACTTGCGCTTTGTGTCATTGTGTGTGATTTCTCACCCACTAGCGACGATCATTACGACCCTTTTAATGTGTAAACTACGAGTTCATCAGTGTTCCACGAAAAAGAGATACTTCCAAAATAAAAGTACTTCTTTCCTTTTCACGTCTCCTCTAAATAAAAGTGTCATTTTCTTTTTTGATAAACAAACCAGTGTCAAAATGTCAAACAATGCCGAAACGTGTTCAAATAGTGCCAACCAATCTCACTTTATAAAAATGTGTGTAAAATGGATGTGGACCTTTATATAATGACGGAAGGAGTAATAGTTGTAATACTAACTACAAAACATTTGTTTGTTACATTCTTTTATATCCTTGTTCAGTACCTTTCTTATTTTATTTCTTGAAAACTAGATAAAATTGTTTTTACTTTTTTTGTCAACAATTTTAAAAATCAGCATGCTAGTTTAAGTAAATCTAAATTTGTTATCCAAATCATACCATATACCTTTAAAAATTACGTGTAAAACAAAAACAAAAAACTAAACAACGACATGATGATTGAGGAAATTAGCACGATAACATATTTTATTTGTTTGAAAAAATCGTGACGAATACAAAAATAAATATGATATGGAGTATGTCAAATGAACCGATGTTTTTACAAAAGGATATTCCGAGTGACATGAATTACATATGTATTTCTGTATTTGTACACTTCACTTTCATTCTATATCATCTACTTTCCTTCCCATAATCAAGAGCACGAAAGAATTGGTTTGAGCATGTGTCTTGACCTCTCAGGCAAGCAAGAAAGAGAGAGAGAAGGAACATCTCTCACAATGTAATTAGTTGGATAGTGAATCTGATGTCCAAAGTTTCTTCGTTGCTACTAAGATTTTCTCTGACCCGTGTGATCCTGGCTCGTCCTCGTGACTACTTGTGGTCCACCTTACAGCTTGGGCTATTCGCTCAATTCGACCTATCACCCGAGGCGAATCGCGGATCAAAACAGTTCCTTCTGGCCTTAGCATTCTATCCATCTCCACTATCAAATCAACAAGGTTACACCTGCAATAGCGAAAGAGATTTAAATAGCCTGGATGAGCTCTAGAAAAAGACCAGATTGCAGGAGCTCTATTTGAAATCAGATTGTTACCATGATAAAATATACCCGAAACTCCCATAAGTACACAGTAATGAGTAAGGATAGAAATTTTTATTATATACGGAGTATGTGGCAAGTTCTTGTTGGGCGGAGAAAAGGCAGATACAATTTCAACACCCAATAAATACTTGACACATATGAATACAGCCTTAAAATGTACCAAACAAATGTAGTCATATCTTTATTGTTGTAATATAGTACTAAGAAATAAGAATGAGTAAAGCATCTCTTGTTTAAAGGAAATAACCTGTCATGGAAAATATTTTCATGGACAGCGTTTCTTTGCAAATAACTTGTTATATGTAAGCATAATGTTTAACCAATAAAAATAGAAACATAAACTGATAAACTATTTCAGGAGAACTACTTTCTATTTTCAACTCGGGAAGTCAGTTTCATATCATTGTTAAGAAAACATTAAATATTTTCTTGGGAAAAATGCAGGACAATCAGAAACATTTTTTAGTGAAAATGTTTTCCTATAAACAAACTCAGGATAACATGTACGGAGTACATGGTTTTTTGAGATGAACATGCCAGTGAAGCTAACATGTGTGGGTCTTATACACAACGTTGACAATCTTATACACAAGTACACAAGTCAACAACAAAAACTAAACTCATTTTCAAGCACCTCCGACAATTTTTGGACCCACATCAGCTCAACACACCAGATTAAACACATGAATTGCTTTGGCACAACATTAATGTTAAAAATTTCTAGAAGTTTAAGCCTTTGACGTATTGTAACAGAACAGCAATTTTAGCCCACACTCTTCAATATGGTTATAATTGGTCCCTAAATTTTTATTCATTTAACTATTTTGTCATTCAGCAACCTACTTTCCCCCCAATGTTACGATTTGTAAAATGATTAATTTTCTCTCTTTGGTATGGAGGACTAAAACCCACAACATGCTCACATTGATAATTGACTAAAATAGCTATGCCCATAACTCAAGAACAAAAGAAAAACTTTTCACCAGAAAGGCTATGCTGACCTGATCTTGCCAGAGGTAGGATCCTTTATGAGAGATTGGATAGCAGCTACATGAATTAGATCATAACTCCGAGGGTAAGTAGAGAAAGGTTCACACCTAAATGAATAATAAACATTAATCAACTTCTTGATGTGTACACTCTAAGGGATCAACTTTCAAATGTTGGGATAAAATCGTAAAACACATCAAAGAAAGTTAACTTTCTAGCGATGTGTAAGGAGCAGCAAGCATATTAGGCAACATTTCAAATGTTGATTTTATATTTATTTGAAGGAATCAATAAATGTAATCCCTTCAATCATTATAATCTCATAAAATAATGATATCCAATTTTTATAGTTTAAGACAAAAAATTGCTATAAGAGGTCTTGAAAAGTTCAGGAATAAATACCAATTATGGTAAACCCCAATAAGGCCTCTATCGTAGATGACTTCAAGTGTCAAAGTTTTACGAGCTGGAACCACATTCATCACCCAAACAGGATCTGCCGACAATGCTGCAGCAAAGCCTCCTAAAAATGCATTCATATCCATGACATTCCGTATGGCCGGAGTTCCTAGCTTCAAATTCAATGTTTTCTTATAGTATGCTACTCTCCTTGCCCATCTTCTGTTGTCGGCTTCAAACACATCCAATCCATATTTCAATGCAGTAGCCCTGGAAGAAGCTTTCATCAGCCTCTTTGGCCATTCCGGAATGGTACCAATAGCAAAATTTCCTTCTACAGAATAGGTCTTGCTGACACATTTTTTCAGCTTTACATACCTGTCAATTTATTCAGATGAACAAACACAATGAATATCTTCGTCCCAAATTAATCATTAAACCATACCAAAGATTGTCCAAATGCCTAACTCAGATAGTCCAAAGAGGGTGAAATGTACCCAGACTTTACCTCCATCCCCAAGAGTAGAGAGACCCTTTCCATTATGACCCCCAAACTAATTGTCATTTGAGAAAAAAATGTTGTCCCCAAAAAACTGACTCTAAGAATTCAATGCATACTTCTTACTAATCTTCCATCATGCCATATTAACTCTTCCTAAATTATCTAGTTTTGCACCTCAAAAAGAAAAAATAATAGTTGTTAAAGTTACGGTAGAAGAGTCACTTTCTAATTTTCCTTAAATAGCGTGTACTTTTCTAAAACATCAATCCTTTTGGGACGGAGGATGTAGTAAACTAGATAAGCTTCCATCAACTATGTAAATGAAAAATTGAAAAGGTGAATAATTCACCATGCAGCACTTGGTTCATCAGAATCACCACACAAATCAAGCCCAAATTCACTGTGGGTTTGAAGACATGAATCCCCAACAGTCTTCTTCCAAATGGCTGTGTTACCATCCACAACAATCAGTTCAAAACACAGTGATCTGCCCACAGCTTGAAGGTCTGCCCATTCCTTATCTAGTTTAGGCCATTGTACAGGGGGACCAGATATGACTAGGTAGCCTCCTGGTCGAAGTAGCCGATCAACCTCAATAAAGTATGATGCATCTGCATTTGTTTTCTTACAATCAGAGGCAGTAGTACTCTATTGTAGGACAGTGAGAAAGGTCAAGGGAAATAACTTACTATGTGCTGTAAATGGAATCGAGCAGTGAGAGCAATGCACCAAATCAAATGAAAATGCAGAAACCGGAAGCCTATAAGTCCCTAGAGTAGCAGAAATTGCTGGCACTCCTCGTTCCAATGCAAATTGTACTTTTTGTTTGCTAGAATCTTTTGGGGCAAAAGAAAGGGTCAACATGTCTTCAGAAAGTAGTAAACCACCAAAGCTCCCAACCTGAGCGTAGAAAGAGCAATTAAAGTTTCAGACAGAACCAAATAGATGATCTCACGGAAAAAGAACCCAATTCGTACCCCAGAATCGATATCAAGAGCGGTCCTCAAAAGTCCACCAGCTATAGGAATATATTGTTTGAGTTTATCAATATATTGCAGTGCTCCATCCGGGAACAAATGGCCCGCATCAGGAAAGGTAAAGTAAGGACCTTCTTCTTTCATCCATCGTCCATGACCTTTCCAGTTAGCTATTTTCCTGAAAGGCATGTTGTCGTGCCATATCTGCATGGTAAAGACTATCAATCCAATTAAATGACAATAAATGCTTGATATTTGGATGGAAGTTTAGCTTAAAGGAGGAGAAAATCACTAAAAGTCCCTGCTTTATAAACTAGAGCAATCATCCATACAGTGATATAGAAAATAGGTAAAGTATAGCAGATTTCAGCCGACTAGATATAAATGAAGCCGCCTTCACCTCTTCTGCTCTGAAACTCTAAATAGCATTTCCACAAACAAAATATAAGCATCTAGCCAGTTTCAGCATGCTTTAGACACACTATGGATTTTAAACCTCTTCATTCGCAAAAAACAAAGATCACAGTCTAGCTATAGACCCCGAAATTAAAGACCAGATAAGCTTATTTGGAAAGCAGTTAAACGCATTCAAATTATTAACAAAAAAAGAATCACCTTGTGCAAACTTTCCGGCCACCGAACGGGAACCCGATATCCAACAGGCGGCGGGACCAAGCAAAGCGGGGTGTCTTCAGGCAAGAGGCAATGTTTATCCCTGTACGCCCCGGGATCCTCGCAGGGCATGTAGTCGGCGAATTCGGCAGGGCAGGCATCGATGGGGGACGGCTTGCGGCCCGCCTCGATGAGCGCGGCGAGGCGTCGGCGCTGCTGCGAGCCCTCCAGCAAGGACTGCCGGCCGGAGGCGGCGAGGGAGTCACCGAGCGGCGTGAGGAGGAGGAGGAAGAAGACAAAGACGGCTGCAAATAAGGCCGCCGACACCAAGTCCAGTAGCCCCCTTCGCTGGTGCGGTTTCCGCTTGGAGGAGTGGATAGTCAAATGGCCCATTACGGTCACATGCAGTTGTTTGTTCCTAATCAAGCAAGATGGATCTCGATCACACACATATGGAGGAGTCCAAATGAAGCAAACGAAGCAGTGAAAAAGCACAAATACCGTTTACCCAATTACAGTGATTTTGAATTTGAGAGTCCTAGTGATCGAATCATGATCAAATATATATCCAATAATCAATAATAAAAGTTTTTAGTGGTACTCAATTATAATCTCTCATCTCGATATAAAGGTTATAAAGAAAATGTGACATTTATGCAATAAAAATCCAACATTTTTAGGATACATTTCTTTCAACGTTAATATGTAATGTCACTGTCTCGTCACTTAAAATTTTGTCATCTTTGATTTTTCAAGTCAATGATGATAAAGTTTAGACTATGATTTTGATTAGTACTACATATAAATTTAGGAAGTTATCAATTTTGTACTTTTATGAAAGTACTTTTAACAAATAATATTTTCATATCATTTTTATGTTATAAATAATTTCCTGTAAAAATGTATAATCGGTCAAAGATGAACTTGTTTGACCGATAAATTCAAACATGACAAAGTTTAAAGGAATCGATAAAATATTTTTATAGTTGAATAATATGCAACACTTTGAATATGAAGATACTTAATTTAGTGACTTTTTTATTTAGTGATACACACCTAATATCTTTCATAATTTCCGTTTTTTGATTGAGTTGCATCAAAGAATTTTGCGAGCAATGGAGAGTTAAGGGCCTAAGGCCAGCAGGGCATCTGTTGCTTATCCCCAATGCAATGGACAAGTGGAAAACGCGAACAGGACTATTGTTAGCGGCCTTAAAAAGAAGTCGGAGTCAATGGGAACAACTTGGGTGAATGAACTCAACAACATACTTTGGGCATATCGGACTACCCCAAGGAAGGTTACTGGTGAAACTCCTTTCGCTTTGACTTATGGATTTGAAGCCTGAGCACCATTAGAAACATTGGTCCCAAACAAAAGGGTGGAGGATTATGACCTTAAGAATAAATGAGGACATGCTCAGGGTAGAATTGCACCTGATTGAGGAAAGGAGGGACAATGAGTTCATCAGGGCTGAAAACTACATAAGACAAGTCAAAAAATACCACGATGCAAGGGTTAGACCGAGATTGTTTCAGGTCGGTGACTTGGTTCTAAGGAGGTCTGTAAGCAAACCTCTGGAGGGTGGAAAATTCGCCAAAAACTGGGAAGGGCCTTACAGAGTCAAAGGAATCATTGGCCCCGGGCTTACAAGTTGTGTACTCCCAAAGGAAAAAAATAAAAATAAATAAAAATAAAGTGTACTCCCAAAGGAATGCTGATAGAAAGAGTGTGGAATTCGGAACACTTGATGAAATTCTACCAGTAGGTCTGTAACCCCGATTTGAAGTTTATTTAATAAAAGTTTGCTTTCTCTCACGAATGTCCTTATAAAAATTGCGAAGGTTCTTTAACCGCCAAAAAGAAGAAGGCTACGCCTAATTTTGGTACTCGCAAAAAAAGCCAAAGTCACATTCCAGGCTCATCCAAATTCTAGAAGCTCAACTTAGTCTTATTAAAAGTTGAGAGCGGGAATAAAAGACCTTTTTCAAGGTCAAACAGTCTTATTAACAAAATCAAATTTCCTCAAACAGGAAAGGATGGCCTTTTTCAAGGCCAAAACTGATTTACAGAGGCTAAAGGATGAACTAAAGGAATTAACTTTGCACCGGAGAGGCCACCAGGCCTCACCAATTAAAGAGATTTATCACTAAGGTCTAAGTTACCTAAGGGAATAAAACCCACCCTGTTTTGGTTCAAGCAATGAGAACCTAGGGGTTAGAATGGGTAAAGCTCTCCAAACTGGTTCATAAATTAAGAACCTAAGGAAAGCAACCTTGATTGGAAAATCAAGGCCAAAACTATAAGGACAAAAGTGATGAAAAATAAACTTGAGAACCCGAAACCCAAGTCAGACCTTGAGGTCGTCCCAGGGCTCCCAGATTGTGCAAATACAGGGATGAAGGCCAAGTTCCAGAAAATTGACATAGGATGGAAGCCAATCTCAAAACCAAGGCTAGGCAGCTCAGACTATGCCTAAGGAAGGTCAGGCAGAGCCAATAACTGGACCTGAAACAGACAGGCTATAATAAAAGCAGTAGCAATATATACACGCAAAAGATAAAGTGGAGCGAAGCATGATGTTTGTTTACAAAGCCACCCCGAGGGTGGAAAGCGCTACAAGCATGCATGCTTAGCTTGGAAAGATGTTTGTCAAATGGAAAAAATAAGCAGAATTTACAGAACAGGTGTCGGGGCGTCCCCCTAAATACCACCCAACAGCAAACAATCCCTAAACAGCATCACCGGAGCTCTTCTCTTCCATGGGCAAGGAAATGGCCTGGAATGCCAGCCTCTCCCCAGTCTCCCTCGTCAGGATAGGCTGGAGGTCGGTATCCGGCTTTGCAAGAATCAGCACTGTCTCCTTGGTATCCCCGATCAGGCCATTTCTCCTTCCTCTGGAACAGGTTAGGTCTTAGTGAGAGGTGGCCATCAAAATACAAGAGAAAGAGGAAGTTAGAGCAAAGGGCAGATGTAACTAACCCGGGGAAAGAGTGAGCACCACCTTCCCATCATCACCCACACGGTGGCCCAACAAATAGGGTGATTCCATATCAAGGAGACCGGCGGCGTACTCACTTCCCTGATTAAGGAGGGGAACGTCCCATTGGCGGATGAACTCTACCCATTTATTAACAAATGGAAGTTCACCGTTTGCTGGGATCACCCATGCCCATTTTTGTTCCCAATTTGGGTCAAGGCCGGGGAAGGGTGGACCCTCGAACAAGTGATGGTCGGGCCTTTGGGAGAACGCAATGAATCCCTTGACCATGAAGGCACCAGACCGGGCCGCATAGAAGAAGTGTCGGAAGAGGTCCGTATTTAGTTTGATCCGCAGGTGCATGCAACGAGCCATGAACCCGTCCAGGAAGAGATATGCCACTGGGGCAAATTGGCCAGGAACAATGTGGTAGTAGGGAAGGATACTCCGCACAAAGGAGTGAAGGGAAAACCTGAGACCCATATACAGGCTGGATAGGTGCACCCCAAAATGAAGTGGGGAAGGAGGATCAACTATGTTTTGACCAGGTATAGGGCGAGAGCAAACCATCTGGGGCCGGCAAGAGCAGCGGCAGTCTCGAATTCGGCCTCCGTGAGGGCCACCGCAGTGATGGCCCGAGCCATACTGTCCGGAAGGTAAAAATGGGTTGAAGAATCACGGAAAAATTTGGAAACAGAAGAAGGGTTAGGCGAAGACATGATGAACTGGAATTTTTGCCTGAAAGAATCGAAGAATGCACGAATACTAAAAAATGCAGAGAAAACATTGCCTTTATAGTGGAACCCTAAAAATGCTTTGGAAGCAGTAGAACCACTTAGGAACCGTTTCGGAAACTGTGTTAAAACCGTTTGGATAGCCACGTCAAAGGCATTTGGATAGTCGTGAAGGAAGAGAAAGGCGGATTGGAAATTGAGCCCAGGCTGCAGGCGTACTTCGAGAGAATGTGTATTAGCGTGTTTTGCTAAGAGGTGTTTTGCTAAAGAGAAATACGTGAGGAATGTGTATTAGCGTGTGTTGTTGCAAACCACCTGCCAACCATTATATAAGAGGATTTGTTGTGTGTAAATGGTGAATTAATGGACCTGAACGTTGGACATCAATGACCAGTCCATTGGGCATTGAATCATCCATGAATTGTCCATTTAATGCTGCATTAAAGGATAAGAACGTTAGGCATTAATTGTTGAAATGGTTCAAATGCACGACAGAAGACCACCACCAGAACACCCTGTGAGGGGTTTTGTTCCGAAGCCAACAGATAAATTTTTGGACGACATTCGTGTCCGCAGGTCGCCCGCGCACGCAAGTCGCGGTTTTTCTTCTCCGATTTCAGGATTTGATTTGCACCCCCTGCGCGCGTGGAGAGAGCCTTTACCCTAAGATATCTTAACTCCTTAAGGGGAGAGTCCCTTTATAAAGGGTTGCAAATCCCTTGGGTTTTCCGGTGTGGGAAATAACACGCTAGAAACTCATCCTTTTTCCCAGTTTTCTCATTCTGACGGGTAAACTTCGAGAATCAATTTCTCATTCACCCGTTATCCGGCCCCGTTTTGAGCGTACCACATATCGAATTGTAGCCCTTAACAAGGACAATCCGAAACCACTTTGACCCGACCCAAATCGGAAGTGGACCCCACTCAACAAATTGCCCCAAAATTACCATTTAATGCAATTTTTCACACATTTTTCAAACAAAAACTAAAAGATAAGTAACAAAGTTTGGATTCTTAACTATAAAAATTACTCAATTTTTTCTTTTTGGATAGAAAAAACTGTTAGAATTCATTAAAATTCTGAAATATGACAATAACTAGAAATAAATAAAAGTCTGTTGGCTAAATATTAAATTAGAAAAACAAGAAAAACAAAAAACCGAAAATAATAACTACTAAAAATGCATAAAAAAAGAAAACAATGGATACTTGTATATCCAATTTTAAAAATAAAATAAAACTGATATAAATTAAAACAAACAAATCAGAAAAATGTAAAATAAACGAATTGAAAATTGAAGAAATACAAAACTAGAAAGAAGATAAATATTTAAATTAGTTAAAAATGTTGGAAATTGTAAAAATACATTTTAAACTAAAAACAGTTGTAAAACAATTGAGAATACAAATTATACGATCTAAGAACATAAAAAAATCTCAAAGTAATATATACTTCTTATGTTCTTTTTTAGTTGCAACATTCTTATTTTCACGCTTGTCAATGCACAACTATGACCATCATTATATTTAACTCTCTATTAGTAAAAAAAATTAAAATTCCGATTATGAAATTTTGTAATGAGACGGATTCAACAATAACTTAAAAAAACAATCTTCATATATTAATAAATAAAATAAAGCCAAAGTAGAGTACATGAATAATATAAATTTTTCTCGTTGCAACTAAAAAGACAGAGGATGGTATTAAGTTTAAAAACATTAAGAAAATATAAATAATTGTAAAAAGGATATAAAAATAGAAAATAAAATTCTTTGAATTATTAAAAACCGAAAACTAGAGTGAAC